AAACGTGAACAAAAAAATTTAAATCTTGTACATTTTATGAATTTCGGAAGTTTTGAACTTTTCTGTCTAACAAGAACAAATTTTGATTTTTGAGAACAGTTTTTTTTTAAACTGAACATTTTATGTAAACACAAACAAAATTTGAATATTTTTATAACAAAGAGGAGAAAATAAAATGAAATAACAAACCAAAGAAAGAAAACAAATAGAAAAAAATAAGAAGAAAAGAAATAAGAAACAGAAATAACTAAAAACGAAAAGAAGAAGGAAAATTCGAAAATATAAAAAATAATATTTTTTAAAAGCAAGAACATTTTTCGAAAATTAAGAACAAATCGGAATATGTACATAGTTTAAATAGATAAAATAACATTGAAAAAAGAACAAGAAAACAAAAACGAAAAAAAGAAAAGAAAAAGAAATTAGAAAAAGAAACAGAAAAAAAGAAACGGATAAAGAAAAAGAAGAAACAGAAATGAAAAAACAAAAAACAAAAAAAAAGAAAGGAAAAACCGGTTTAGTGAACCTTCTAGAAGGTTCCCAAAACCACAAAAAACCGGCTGGAAAAGTCTAGAAGATTTCCAAAACCGGAAACACTGGAACACGTTAAATGGGCCGGCCCAAGGGTAGCGCTCGATCGCTGCCTCCGTGCGACGCGTCGACTGTTTGAAGCAACGAGCGTCCAATAGGAAATTCCCTCCTAGTCGGCGCTGCAAGCGCCGGTTAGCGCTCGCAGCGGGAGCTAGCGGGCCGGCCCAATCGAGGAGAAAAAACAGTAAAAGACTACGATGCAAAAAAACTGGAACTCGAACCCATCACCTAAGGGCTATCAACCTAACGCCCAAACCACCAGACCGAGGCGCTTAGCTTGTCAATTACCAGAAACGAGATAGATTTGACCATTCCTCTACAGATATATAATATACCCAGAGTTAATTATTTGAAAAAGAAATTCACAAAAAAAACTATGAATATGAAAAATGGTTCGTGAAAAATGGAAAAAGATCATCAATTTCGAAAAAACCTTCATCCATTTTGAAAAAGTTCACAAATTTGAAAAAAAGTTCACTGTTTTCAAAGAAAAGTTCATCGAATTGGAAAAAAGTTCATCAAATTTCCAAAAAAAGTGCATGGATTTTAAAAAAAAAGTTCATTCAATTGAAAAAAAGTTCATCGATTTTCAAAGAAGTTCATCACAACTTGAAAAAGTTCATGGATTTCAAAAAAAATATCGATTTTGAAAAAAAAAGGTTCACAGATCTGAGAAAAGTTCATCAATTTTCAATCGGATTTGAAAAAAATTCATCAGATCTAAAAAAAGTTCATCGAATTGGAAATAGTTCATTGGATTTGAAAAAAAAAGTTCATCGGATTTAGAAAAGTTCATCGATCTTTAAAATAAGTTCATCAAAATGTTAAAATGTTCATTCATTTTGAAAAGAGAGTTAATCAATTTTGAAAAAAAGTTCATTGAAATTGAAAACAATCATCAAACTTGAAAAAAATTCACTGAAATTAAAAAAGTTCATTGATTTAAAGAAAAAGTTCACGAATTGGAAAAAAATGTCGTCTATTTCGAAACATTTCACGCATTTAAGAAAAAAGGAAACAGGAAACAAAAAAAAGAAAGGGAAAAAAACATGGAGAACATAGTGGGCATTTCCTGCATGTATAAGAAGGATGAAAGGAGGTTTGTATTCGCGAGTGGCGTAGGTGGCGTAGTGGTTAGTGGAGGGATCTAGCAACAGAAACATTGCTGGTTCGATTCCTGGATACGCACACCCTTTGCCATCATCTAACTTCGCAAACCGGCGCCTGCAGCGCCAAATAGGGACTACCCTAACGCATTGCGTGGTGTGGCGGTGCACGACAGTACGCAACCGATGGACATGCTGCAGGCTGCTGCTGTGCTCCCAACGAGTTGTAGCCGGATTCAGGCGCCCAGTCAAAATGGATCAGGTAATCGCGTACTAAATCAAATGATTTGAACCCACATGGATCCTCAAGATTGATGTTACGACATCTCCAATGTTGACCCGCAAATTTGCTTCCGTATCTGTCCGCAGTTACAAATACAGAAGGCGGGCATCCAACGCTACGCTCATACATTTCAACCATTATTTGTACTAAACGGACGAAATTCATGCAAACACAGCAGATTTTTATAAACCGAATGTAATATATTATATGTTGGACAATCTTTAACTAAAATCTACTAAAAACCAAATCTAAATGATCGCCGACGTTCATTCCCCATGTCCGGCCAAGAGCCCCGAGAACTGTAACTCCAGCTCTTGCCTTCGTCTTCTCCAGTTCCGCCTCGACGCTCTCCAGCTCCGCCTCTGTAGCCTCCGCCTCCGCCTCCGCACCTGTGAGCCCTGGGAAGTGAAGTTGTCCACCTCCACGTCACCGCCAATCGGCTAATTGGCTGACGATGTTCAGTCCACCAAGCTTGGCTTCAACGGGAGGGGAGGACCAGTGGCCTTCTTGGGACACGAGCGGCGGTCGTCTACCATGCACTGCTCTTCATCGCTGCTGGTGGCGCCCGCGGATGTGCCGACTTCATGGTCATGGTGGCGGGCAAGGCTTCGGCGGAGCTGGCGATGTCCTCCTCATCGTTGCTCTTGCTGAACACCTGATCCGCCGCCTCGTCCATCTCTTGTAGGCGGCCTCCGATTCCTCCTCATGGAGACGGAACCGCTAGCGGTTGCGGCGGATGTCGCGGACGGAGAGGTAGTTGTCGAGCAATGCCCCCTGCTCCGCCACGTGGAAGCTTTCAGTTTAGACAAAAATACATAAATAAAAATGATTGTGAAACGATGAAATGATTATATAGTACTACGGAGCAAACTACACACATACGTGGATCTTACTACCATAAAGGCCTACGGTGGGATAAACATGATTTATTGCGACCCCCATAAGAGAACATGGTCCAAAGAATTAAAAAATACCCCCCTTCGCGCGCCTTCTCTATTCAGTAGTCAATAGTAACTTTGTAGGACATGGAACACTAGCGAGTAGAGCTACAGGACTGCAATGCGGCATTCCTCCCATCATACAGTAAGCTACATGGTTGGAGCAAAGCTTGCGAGGGCCACTTGATTTTTACTAAGTACATCAGCTGTAACCATACTATAGGTTTCTACTTGATAATATGATCATTTGTTGCACATATATATGCTTATATTTATGTACTGTTGTCAAATTACTTGGAGTGATGCTACTAGTGAACCTAGGAACATCCAATTTCCTCATGAAAACAAGTATCACTTTACATTTACATGCAATTTTATTTTCTACAATAATTTATTCCTAAAATACAAAAGAAAAACATTCTACCAAATTATATGCTCGTAACTTGTTGCAAATAGGAAAGATAGTGAGATTTTCACTAGAGTTGTTGGGAACACAAGTGAAGTTCTTGTTCTATGTTGTAGTGTTGTTGATTGGTCCTAGGGGTGTTGCCTCTAAGGATACATTGG